AACATAACAACGTTTGGACAAGGTTTTGTCATCATCATATATATATATATATATATATATATAAGCTCATTTATTAACAAAACATAAAAGAAAAATGAGTTGTACACCATGTGCTTAATTTTAAAATGTCAATAAGAAAAAAAAACTTCAGTCCAGTGCAGGCTAGGTTCTTTGTTGAACAATAATGTGTGTCTAGCTCACATGATTGTCCCTTATTAAATTCTGGAAGTTTGAATTGTGTCTAACAGTTTTATTATTTATTTTTGTATGAAGCAGCACATTAAACTTTAGCTACAAATTAACTAATGAATTTTATAAAAGTGTTTAAGCAGTTTTTTAAGGTTTTATATCTGATTAAAATTCAAGCTCTTGTACAGAACTTATTACTTTGGCAACTTTTAATTTGGAAGTGAAAATGACTTTAGCCTTTGGACCAAGAACATTTTAGAAAATATCGAAATAATTTTAAGACTTTCATTTTTCACTTAAACTAAACATTCATACAAGAATAGAACATCTGAGCTGAACGTCAGACCAAGTGATAACCATGGTTCTCCTTAGGCTTTTATTAATAACAGTTTTCTAAGCTGTGATGAAATTTAATCTTTACTGCTGATTATTCTGAATTTCACATGTTTTTATAAATATTTGTTACTAATAAATCTCATTTTCTGGTCATAAAAAAATTACAATATAAATCACTACACCCATTTGCTTTCAGATTTCTAGTTACTGTAGCAGTAGTATGGGGGCTGGGGGAGACTTATATATTCAGTTGTTTATTTTTGTTGTTTGGTGAAACTTTCTCCTTAGACTTTTTTTTTTACCAAATTACATTTCTAAATAAACTTAATTTCTTAAAATTTTTTAATTGGTATTAAATTCGTGTATTTTTTACTCTTATTGTAAGGGAAATATCTATCACTCATTATTAACACTGTGCTACAAAACTTGCAACTACAACTCAAACTTTATTACAAATTTCTTCCAAAGTCGTCATTTACAAAAATAACGTGTGCGTATGTGTATTTTTTCACAATAAAGTTGACTGTAACTGGGGGAAACTTTCACACTTATCTAGAGCCTCCAAAAAAAAAAACATGAAAACCCTGAAATTGATTTTTTTAGCTACACTGTTACCATAACGTTTTCTCTACCAACTGCTTTTGTAGATGTGCATTTTAAATGTGTTGAACACAAGTTTTATACATTATTGTTAAGTTCTTTAGATTTCCTGCAGTGGAGCCGAACAGTGTGTGTTTGTGGTATTAGGTTATTGCTCTAACCGTAGTTGTAGTTTCGAATGTTCTCTTATCTTAGAATTGTTTGCATTGCCAAACCTACGAAACATTTTGATTACAGCACACAAAGGCGGTCTTGCACTGAAAATATATTTTTAAAACACTAAGATACGATGTGTCTAAAATGGCTAATATCGGGTTGAATGGGTTATTTGCTGCTACAGTTAATTAAAGCAACATGTTCTAAGATAATTTTAGACACACCGAGATATAAAAGTATTCCAATTTGACAAGCAGCCAGTCGAGTGTCAGTTTGAAAAAATAACGGCGTATTTTAACAATGGCTATCCTTTCTCGCAAATAAACTTTTGAAATCTATAGCTCGTTTCTTACGTGTTTCTCGTCTTTACAATCAGTAATGATGACTCATAAAATCCCTACTTGTGTATTGGCATCGCTTATTAGTCTGTTGGAATTAAGGACATTTTTTAACAGACTTGCATTTAGGGCTAAATTATAACCCCTAGAGCCTGAATCACCAGAGCACAAGATCAATTAAGGCTTTTAATAAAATAAAAATATATCTAGAAAGATGAGTTTGTAATTGAAAAGCTCTTGGTAATCTGATTTAAAAAATTCTGTCTTTGAAGTACAATTTGAATAACTTTTAAACTTAGCAAAATTAATTAGACAATTATTGGGACGATATTCTTTTTATCAGCTTCGTTCTCCCTTCGAGTGTATTACTTAAAGAAACAAAAAGCTCGAAAAAGTAATTTTAAGAACTTGCGACATGAGAGAGATTTATAAGCTGTATAAATAATTATTTCACAATTTCAAGTTTTATTACTTCTACTTGCATCCGTAGCTTAGATTTTCACCACAAAACTAAAATTGGAAAGAAAATGTTATTACACAGTAGCGTCTTTGGTTTGCTAACTCTGCGAAATAAAAACACTTCAGGGATAAGAAGATGAAATGAAACTGATTCTCAGCCCACAAATGTATGGTAAAGACCGGGGACCTAAATTTCTCCCGGACACCAGATGTGTGTACCTGTTCTAGACCATTTTGGGGTATTAAATCTATTACGGTTTTTGTCCGTCCTGGAAATGCGCACGCACTTCTTTTCGACGAATGTAAACAAAAGGTGTATGTAAATATTCTTCAGTAGATATTTTGTACAACAAGACATTAAAAGCTTATCTCAATTTTTAAAAAAGTCTAACGTTAGGTCGTGGAATAACATTATAAGTTTATTTACTGAAAGTAATAGTGTTAGGTACGTTCATGTTTAGCCTTAACTAAACTAAAGCAAAAGCCGTATCTAAGTTATATTGCTAATTTATCTCTCTCTGTTTTTTTTATTGGAATAGGCCGCCTTTATAAAGGCTTAACTCATGTTAGGCCTAAGACAAGTGGACTAAAAGATTTCAGTGTTTGCGATTAGAATTCTTTTGTATTATTCGAGAAATCCTGTATTTAAAGTAGTACTGTTGCAATAAAGATACTAGTTTGACCGCAAACTTTTGCGGCTTTCTGGTAATATTCATACTATTTACCTCTAGGGTGATCAGTAAACATTGAATTTTATCCACTTTTCATTTTTTGTTCTTATTATCAAAATTACTAGCAAGTTAACATATAAAACTGGTAATTTCATGAAATATTGGAGCAATACTTGTACAAATCAGTTTCGTGTACGGCAAATTAGTGAAGAATCATTTACAAACTGATATTTTGAAAGTAAGATATTGATATGTCATTCATTTTCCTGTAAAAAATTGCGATGGGTATTCCACAGTTCCAAAAGCTCACCTTCCCATATGCCACAACTTACGAGACTGAAAATAGTTTCCTAATCTGTGGCATTTAATACGTTTTTATCTGTATCAAAAAGTCCGTCCTTAATTATTGAAAATTTCGTTGTTTACGCAAACTTTCATCGGATCATATCTACCTCCATTCAATAACACCCCATGTAAATTATTTCACACAGAATATATAAATTTTGTGTACTTTTAATCAAATAGGCGAAAATCCTGTACTATTATAGCGGATAACGAAAGATTTATAAGTCTACCTCTATGCCGATCCATTTTGATCTTCCGCCATTGCACTTTGAGTTCGTGCATTTCTCAGGAGTTTGGAAATTATCGGTTTCGAAAGACGCCGAGTCTACTAGGATTTTTTTTCTGGTCCCAGCATCTTCCTCACTGGGTTAGACCGAACAAATGTGGATAGCCAATTTGACAATAAAAATGGAGACCACCTCACATCCCCGAGTTACATTCTTACATGAAATTGGTTATATATTGAAGAGTACGAAAGACCGCGAGTAGCCAAAATATAGTATTTATATGATGAAATGATAATTACGCTACTTCTAACATGGAACTTTGTCGTATGATGATACACAATAAGAAGGTTTGCATAGAGACGATTTCCTGCTACAATTTTCATGGGCAGTATTTTTACCTAAAGTTATACCCCTTCATTTTGGTCGATTTTTCATTACGCATAAAGTTGGATTGTCGTCAGTATTTCTCTTTATTGTAAAAAATTCGAGAAACCAGAAATGGTATACAGGGAGGTGAAGATTGTTTGACAAATATGGCGACTTTTTTTTTACAACTTTTGTAATTCATATTAGCATAAGAAATTTCGTTAATGAAATTTCCTATTTTTTTAAATGACAGATAATTTTAAGTAGCATTACGGAACTGCATTATGACAATGGAAAAAAATTCATTTAAAGGTGAAGGAATGATAAGTCTAGTTTCACTATTGTGTAAATCACTTATCATCTATCTAGTTGTCAACTCACAAAGAGGGCGCTGAATACTTTTTCTTTCCTTCTCGTTTAACTTGATATTGGTCTTGCGCCAAAATTCTTCTCTTCAAATCTCACTCGAAGATAACTTATTTGAGATGCTTACATGCCAAACGGGAAGGGTGGATCAGATAAGAGAACAAGCCTTACAGTGTGATGTGACAAGTACACAGTAGAGTTGAATACAGAAAATACATTAATACGTAAACCGTGTGATTACAGAAACTATATCGTTTGGCACGGTTAAGAACGCTCTTTCATCGTGCGAGTGACACGAATTTTGGCATGTTTTTCACAAACTGTTAAAAGAATTGGGCAAAAAGCTGAGATAAATTAATTATAGGCAATGTTTAAAGATGCAGTTTAATGCGTTCTTTTGGGGTCCACTTATCGTTACATAGTTAAGTTTCAGGTGCTGGACAACAGAAGAAAGGGGTTAAAGTTTCCATAAATTGTTCAGTTCTTTAAAGCCACAGTCGCAACACCTGAAGTGATTAAACAATTCAACGACTCCATCTCACAGAACTATAGGTTAACCTATGTAACGAACACTTACAAATGTGAAAGTGATCATCTCAAAACATCCATAATGCCTCAAATGAACATTTTCCTTAGCCTTTGTACCCGTGACGGTATGATGAAAATATAAAATTAAAACACTTTCCGCAAATCAGGACTTATAATTTGTGATAAAACAAGTTAATCACTGAGGGTTTCATTATTATATTTTGTTTATATACACCTGGAAAAAAGTTAAGCACCCCCGTGTTTTTTTCAAGTGATTCAGATTCGACGTTCTTGTGACTGATTATAAATTACCATTCAATCTAAACGTGT